TTAGCATATCAACATATAGCCTTATCAAGAATATATTCTTGAGCAGAGAGATGAGGTACTACGATTTGACTATGCGTATATGTTTGCCTATATGTCTGTTCGTATGTCTGTCTGTGTGTCTGTCTCTCTCTCAGTCTGCATGTCACTCAGTCTGTCTCTCTGTCTGCCAGCAAGGGACGAAGAACAACTACCGAAGAGCATTCGAGTTGTCTATGTGTATGCAGCAGTCTTCACTTCGTATTTATGAGTAAATCGTAGAAGAGAATGCTTACAGCAGCAGAGGGTGCTCTCATTGGTCAATTAAAGCTCGACTGCAACGATCCCTACTTGACGTCGGGCTCTACGTTTGAGCGTGTGTTAGTGAGTGAGTGAAAGGTGCCCTATATAAAGGGCAGCAGCTGCAGCATTTCCTCAGTCGCTCAGGCCTGGTGGGGGTCAATTGTACAGTGCAGTGAAGTGAAGTAATGTGACTTGGAGGAAATACTTGGAGGAATACTTAGAGGAAATACTTAGAAGACATTCATACAGGACCACACTTACAAAAAACTCGTAGAGCGAATACATAGAAGAAATTCATAGAGAAAATACTTGGAACAAACTCTCAGGGAAAATACTTAGAAGAAATTCTTAGATGAAATCGCAAAGGAAAAACTTAGAAGAAATACTTCGTCTGCTATGCCTCCTTCTAACGGTTACATTCATTTGATAAAGTCATTATACCATACTTACAATAGGTTCAGAGTATACAACGCTATACCAAAGAAGAACTAGGATTAATGGAACTTTCTGCTGGCATTAAAATTACTTTCTCCATTAGAATCACGATATTAATTTTCCACTGAAAGAAAATAGAAAAATCGAATGATACTAGTCCGATTACAAAAGGAAAATTAATTATTTATATTATCATTCTTTTACTAAAGACACATTGAATAATTTCATTTAGATGCAAAATTACTAATTCGTTAATCAATAGCTTAAGTAGCTCGGGCTCTTTGCATTGATAGCTTGGCCAGTTGACGTCAGATTTATACATATCGTTAATTACAATTTTGTCGAGATTCTCACAAGAATTTTCCATTTTAAATTTATCAATTGTATAAAACTGAGCATTTTGTATTCTGGGCTGACTTGAATGCCGGACGAGTAAAGCCGCCAGAATTTTTGATAATTTCAACGAGCAGCCCATTTGCGTAATATCTTCCTGGGCAAATTCGCAATATTCTCGTATTATGTCAACAGTCAAATCCATGATTAGACGCGTGTAAAAATTTAAATAATCTGTTTTTAAAATGAAATAAAAAAAAATTATTTAAAATACATTGAGTTACCACTTGCACTCACCCGTGGATAAAATAAACTCAAATAGATCATTGCTCAACATTTTGATTGCACCTAAAATGCAGCTCAGATGCGACTTTAGAATTTCGCAAACGCATACCTGGTCTAAGTTTTTGGTCTTGAAGATTATTTTCTGAAGGAGAAAAAGTTGTGAAGTTGTTTACTTTACTTTTAATACATCACATGACATGATGAGTATACCAACTAAGTACTTTTTATTCCTCTTTTTTAATTTATCTAGGTGATGTCTATAAATAAAATAAAGTGTTCATCCTGCTTCTACGGAGAATACGTTAAGTATTCTTTTTTTTAATAATATTAATGTTTTAGTTTATGAAATGCAATTTTGATTAGGCGTACGATAGTTTTCAGTTGTTTGATAGATCCTTTAATGATGCTATGCATTTCATAATAAGGGACTGCAAACCTACTTACATCTATAAGAATTGCCATAATTCTTGCTGCAAATACACTTTTCAACGGCCAATCCTCGCCCTTCATTTTCAGCATATTTGATTGGCTTCTCTCTACAAAGTCTTCATTAAATAATTCATTCAAAAATGTCGTATAATATGTGAAGTCCTCTAACGCAGCTTCCTGTGTGTCACAAATGGCCTTCCAAATTGCATTAAATTCCTTCAAAAAGGATTTTTTAGGAGGTAACTCAAGATCTTCATTAGGTTTAGCAACGACGTTTTCATCTTTTAATTGTAAATCAGCTTGAAGCATAGGCAAATTAGTTTTTGTTTCACATCTCTTGAGCTGATCAAATAAATTCTGCTTTATATATGGGCTACAGAACTCAATTAGCTGTGCTACAGCGCGACGAACATCATTGACTGGAAGACCTAATGCTTTCCTGCCTTTGGATAAGATAAATAAGTTACCTTTTGAATCAAAACAACAAAGATTTGATCCAGTCTGAAAATTGGGCAAAGTTTTACTATAGAAGGCTCTAAACATAGGTCTATTTTGTGTACGGCAAAGTTCCTGCTTTGTCGTCGAACTTTTTAGAGTTGACTGACTCGTCAGTTTTCCTAATGTTTTTGTAGAAAATAAAAGTTCCTTATGTCCAGTGAAATTTAGTAATCTAAAATAGAATTAAAAACTCTTGTACACTTTTTCTATACGAATAGAGAGAAATTCAGTATATATACTAGGCCAGGGTTTTTGCCAGCGGCATTTTATTATATTATTAAAGATTTGTTCACATACCTTTTTAGATATAGTCGTTCTTCCCTCATTTGATTCAGAAGTCTTTCCTGCATTTTGTTCACTTTCGAATATTCCTTGAGATATCCTTTCGCCTTCAGCCGCTCCTTTTGCAGCTCAAACAATGAAACTAAATATGTTGTACGATCTATAAGTAATTTCTCCCGCACTTTCAAAAGTTTGAGTAAATTTTCGATATGCGATTTTATTAAATTGTTAAATATCTTCTTCTTATTATATATAGGAAATTAAATAAGTCAATATATATGATTAAAATACATTAAATTAACCATTAAAAGACTTACCCTTCTCTTTGTTTTCGTATGCCTGACTAATTTATTATTCAAAATGTTTTGTTTAAGAGTCTTTTCCTCCGAACTCGCAGTACCAACTTGATCATTGCCTATATAAAGGTTTTATTTTTTTAACATTTAATCTTGAGCATTTAACATTTAATCTTCTTACTATAATTATCTGTCTGTATAGATTTATTAGAATATCCTTTAAATAGATTTATGCATTCACATTCCTTATTAGCTCTTGTTCTTTGACCATTGAAAGCCTTTGAATTCATAACCGCTACTTTGATTTTATTATGTACAGCCGTTATAAAGTTATAGGGATACCTTGAGACTGTTTGTCGGCGTTGAAAACCAAGCCATGTAATACCCGCTCTGCCATCGCAGGTCTTTTCAGATGACATAATTATAGATCAGAGAGATATGTATGTTCAGACAATCTTAAATTAATTGTGTATTTTAAGTCATTTAGTTTATTTAATAACTGACGACTTGAAATGTAATAATCCAAACTGTAATTAGACTAATTAGTAATGTGGTAATGATTTATTAAAAATATAATATTTAAATTAATTATATAATTACCTGTCTAGTCTTAAAAACTCTTAAAATTGAGTGAGTGAATCTTTGGATACAAATTCTTTTTGGCTGATAATCCCCATTCTCAGAACTCATCAAATGTTTCGTGTCAGATGTGTAATTGTTATATGTATGGATGTATGAATTATTTTAATTGGGCAACGATCAAAAATGTTTAAGTATGTATTTTTTGTGTTTTTATATTAAATAACTAGTTTGTATATATTTCATGGCATTCTATGTATGTATTGAAGTAGAAAAACAACTTAATAAACTTGCCTAAACTGTTAGCTTGATGATTGAAGCCTAACGGCAGCTTCTGATTAAAACTGATTAAAACTGATTAAAATTAATGTTAAATAAATTTAGAATTAAATTCAAAGAACTGTTTACTTAATCTAATCAAACTCAACAAATCCATTTCAAATCTTATTTTCGAAACGCATGACTCATGACCAATTGCTATATCAATCAGTCAATGTTTATAAGTAGTATTTCCTATGTATACCTATTCTCGTCCAACATAAACAGCCAACAGCTGAGTCGATATTCGCCATGTGCGTGTCTACTCGTCTGGCAACCGAGTTTGTTTTACATCATCTCAAAATATTCCATTGAAATCGATATCAAGTCTATATAATTTAAAGATCTGCTTTACTGTCATTAAATTCTGACAATAACTGAATTATGGGCTATCAAATAATCTAGTTTAGTTCAGTGAACTCTTTCATTTTTCTTTTTTTTAAATAGATCACACCTGAGCACAGGAGTAAAATGAAAATTCTTGGAAATTTTTCAACAAAAATAAATACAAAAAATATTATACATATTATTCTAAAATTGTTTTTTCTTTTTTATTTGATTTATTTAATTTACAGTCAGTAATGAAAATGAATACAAAAATATTTGATTTTCATAAGATTCACATATATCAGGATAATTATAACACATAGGGTCCAAGATATGAACTATAATTGCACGACTCTCGTCGAAACAATTGAGTTAATCAAATCATAGTTAGCAGGAACCATTAACTTAACTGGAAAAAAGAAAATCAAATTGTTGGTTAGATAGAAAAGGTATAAAAATAAAAATACTATATATATACAAGCATTTCTAAAA